AATATGCAGGGATTTTTGAAATCACAATTTATTTATTTTTATTTTTTGGTGTGATTTAAAATAATAAAGGTAATCAAATCTTCCGGCCACTCTAGGTGATTATGAATTCAAATTACCAGCAGTGATCGCCAAAAAACAGGTAAAGAAATTGCCTTTATACATAATTGAATATTTCTGAAGAATCCAAAAGAAGACTTCTCTGTTTTAACAAAGATAACCCATTTTGTAGTGTTAGTTACATAGAGTTTCTGGTTACACATATGTAAGTCTTGGCAGCATTCTTGTAGTTTTACCTTCTGCATCTGGGACTATGAAAGATTTGTATATGTTACTGGTTGGGGCCCTCCAATAATGAGCGATGAAAATTCCTATTTATCACCTCTACGGTCAACACCCGTGTGACAGCGGAAAATAGCTTTACAGTCGGGCCTCTATATCCACGGATGTGGAGGACTGACTGTGTGCACTGAGTTAGACCATTTTACATGAGGGACTTGAGCATCCTTGGATTTTGGTACCCACTGGGGTCCTGGAACCCATCTCTGTGGATACCAAGGAACGACTGTATTTACCCAGCCCACATTACTGTTGCATAGAATCTGGAGAAATAACTCCCCCAGTCCATTCAAAAATCTTCTTTTCCCAATTAAGGTTTGATAACTGTACCTAATACTGATTTTTACTCTTTTTCATTCGCATTTGAAAAGTCAATGTCGATTTCATTTCTATAATACAGTGTCTTTGTGCTCTCAAAATCTTAACAATTTCTTATCCCAGGGCCCCTTTAATAGTTAATATTTTACTTAGTTTAGTTACTTAAAAACATCTCATAGAGTCTTTATTAGTTTACTTGAGTTTTCTTTTCTTTACTATGTGCAATTATCCATTTCGCAATCACATTATTATATGCAAAATGTTCTTATTTCAATTATAAAAGCAACTATAACCCATGATGATTAAGAAAACTATTTTGCAAATCAATCATTGTTTTCTTCACAGTATAATCAAAGGCTAGATTAAAGGCTTAAGGATAGAGACTTTTTTCCGATTTAAAAAAATAATAAAGGTAATCAAACCTTCTTGCCAATCTAGGTGATTGTGAAATTTAATTACCAGCAGTTATCTTTAAAACAAAGGCAAAGCAATTTCTTAAATTTCTGAAGAGTTCTCAAAAAAATGTATTTCAAAATTAATTTTAACTTGATTATTGTATTTGTTATGTGTTGCTTTTTTTTCTAATTCCTCCAAGGAGCAAAATTTATTCACACCAAGCATGCAGGTGCTACATTCTATGCTAAATGCTCCACGCACATTATCTCATTTAATCCACATAATATTTCTATTAAGTGGGTCCATTTCATATAGATGAAATGACACATGTGGGTGACGGGGTTCAACAACAGCAAGTGTGAACATTCTCAGGAAAGTCAGATAACTTTGGGCTTAATACTGAGTAAATGATTAGATTTTTACTCTGTGCAAACACACCCAAACCTGAATCTTCCACAGCTATTTCCATAAGAGAGGTTTAACCCATGTTATTCGAGTTCACCTCTCCACATGCTGGATACTACAGAATCAACTGTCAATTGCCCAAATATGTCCTAGGGCATCCAGAGCTGTGTCATTAACCACACTGGTGCCTGAACAGAAAGAAAGCCTCCTACATCCGCAGCAGAAATATGCAGTCTGGCAGCTCTAGGTGTGATGCTGCTTATGGGCTTATGAGCAGAGAAGAGGAACCACCAAGATCAGTAGCCCTAAGAAAGGAAGTTAAAAATCAGGTCATGAACTTCATCTCCAGGCCTTTGCCTAAGCTCTTTCCTCTTCCTGAAATACCTTTCCTTTTCTCTGATTTCTGGAAAAATCCTACTCATGCTTCAAGTCCCATCTCATAGGTTATTTCCACTGACTCCTCTAAACTGAGGTCATCCTCTCTTTCCTGCTATCTCCTCCACGTAATTCATTTTATCCAACTGGAATACAGATTGATATGTGCTTGTCCACCTCTAATGCTGGAAGGTGAGGGAGAGGGTCTTCATTCATCTTTCTATTCCAAACACTTGGGCCAATGCCTGAAACTTTAAAGACACTTAATAAATGCTTGTTTAATGGCGTTCAGACCTTGAGATCAAGTTTAACATGCAATACAAGAGGCAGATTTTCTGTGTGTTGGACTTATTTTGCACCCAAAGTCTAAGCTAGTGACTGCCTTTTTTCTCATTACTCCAAGGAGCAAAACTTATTCACACCAAGCACTTAGCTGCCACACCCTGTGCTAAATGCTCCACACACATAATCTCATTTAATCCCGGCAACATTCCTCTGAAGTAGGTCCTATTACTAGATCTGCCCTCATTTATGGATGGGTAAATTGATATTTAAAGAAGTTCAATAACACCTAAAGTTACCCAACTGGTCAGTGGTGGTGCCAGAACTCAAGGACAATAATCCTAGAACTTCAGAGCGAGAAGCAATCCCAAAATTATCTTCCTCACTTAACGTCCTTGAAGCTGAGGCTTCTAACTTACTGCCTGGCACATAGTAGGTCCTCCAAAATGGTGATTGACTGATTGATTCTGACCTTTGCCTGGGAGAACCCAGCTGCCATCACCAACAGGCTCTATTCTTTCCTGCCCAACATCTCTCACAGGTGTGAATTGCTGGCGTCCTCTGAATTATTCATGATCCACGCCTTGAGAAGTGTGCTTAAAAAGAGAACTACAGTTCTCATTATTTTTCAAGACAAAATGCCTGACTAATTGGTGAATTAGATAATATAAGCTTCTGCTCCATGTCGACACGCACCAAATAATACATCCATGCCCACTTTTTGAATTTCAGCTTTCACGTGATACCCCAGTTTCTATTATAAAATAGTGGTAGCTGAGAAGCAAAGAGAACCATTACAAGCATCTCTAGCCTGCCTGCAAAGCAATGACCCGTCACCTAAAGCTGACTCTGTGCCTCAGATCCACACGTGCTTCTGAAGGCTGAGTTAGGGTCTTTAAGAAGAGTTCTTAAGCTAGATCAACACCTGAGAATTCAGATGCCAGGTCACCTGTAATTCATGGCATCAGTCAATCATGACTGATTGCCTCAGGGCCCTTCCTCCATTCTTCCTTCCCTTCCAGTTGTCGGCAAACTGCGGCTCTCGAGACACATGCGGCTCTTTGGCCCCTTGAGTGTGGCTCTTCCACAAAATACCGACTTCTGCCCATGGGCCACGAAGTTTCAATCGCACTGTACGTGCACGCCCGCACGTGGTATTTTGTGGAAGAGCCACACTCAAGGGGCCAAAGAGCCGCATGTGGCTCGAGAGCCACGGTTTGCCGACCACAGCTTAGCCAACTCTCCCTCCTGAGTTGATTTTCCAAGTGGGAAGTTTTATGAGAGGGATAACCATCTGCTAATCGTGAGCCAACATCACTGTATTTTAAATTCAATGTTAGTCAACCATAATGAATTGAAAAGCAGCAGCAGTGGTTTGGGGGTACTAAAAATAAGCTGTAGCAGTTGCTGAGTTCTCAGAATTAAAACCCAAAGCGGTCAACTTGTTGCTGCTCTTAATCAGATATGACTGCTCTAACCCATTGGCTACCATGACGAGGACCTTGAACTGTAACTGTACCATAGGCCTAACAACACTGTGCTTGTGGCTAGCTGGCGGTGATCGAGAATGGAAGTGCTGTTTCCCTGGAACTAAACCTGCCCAAGAAGATAACAGATGGCTTTCAGGCGATCACCTGTGGCACATCACAATTGCACCTTAGTCAAATTCACCTGGCATTTATGATTTAATTAGTCACACATCCACAGATATGGTTCTGTGATGCCTGGCTTGCTGTCTAATGCCTCCAACAAGGTGATTCTTCTTTTGAATTTAATTTTGGGGTAACAATAAAGCAACAACACACAAAAGGAATTAATACATATTAATACATTGAGCATTTCCATTGGGTCGTCGAGACCTTCTTGACCCCTGCATACTGTATACTACACTAAATGTCTTATCAGATATCCCTTGAAGGTTTGTCATTAAAGTTTTCAGGGGCCAGAGAGGGAGGAGAATTCTACCTAATGCATCACTGTGATTCGGTTCCTGTCATACTCAGAAACCAGGGAAAGGGGGGGGTGCTTTTATTGATTCCTGCTCCTTTGGATTCATTAGCAATTTTTTCCTCTTCAATTAAACCCACTGATCAACCATAGAAAAGCTGAAAGAAGCCCTCCCTTTGCTCAGCTGCACTTGGAGGAAAAAAAAATGTATGCCTGGAAAGTAAAATTACAGAGCGTATTCCAGGAGGCCACACAGGGAAAATCAATCTCTTTCGCTCCTCTCTCTCTCTCTCTCTCTCTCTCTCTCTCTCACACACACACACACACACACACACACACACACACACAGCCAGGCAAATTGTCAGTGGCTAGGGCTCTGCCTCCTGTTTGCTAACTCGCTTCAATCAGGACCAAAGGACACAATCCCTTCATTACTTCCATCTCAAACCCATGCCCCAAACGTGTGTCTCCACGGAGCTAATTTCTGAAACAAACAAAGAAAATCAAGTCTGCGAGGAGCGAGGGTTTGCTCCCCTGTGCCTTGAATGCGGGCATCCAGCTTAGTAGTGGCGCTGCCCTGAGAGCGGGTCGGGGCGCCCGGAGTCGCCCTCACCTTCCCCGCCCCGCCAGCCCGGGTTCCAGCGGCGCCAGAAAGTGAGAGCCAGCCCTGCTCCCCTCGCTTCCCCCCGCTGCTCTCCAAGCCCCCCGATCGCCCGCGTCCGCAAACTAAGGGCGCCACCGCTCTCCCATCTCCGCGCTGCCAGATGTCAGCGGGCACCGAGGGTCCTGGCCACCCAAACAAGTGTCACACCGGACGCTCGCTCTCACTCTGAGCGCGCGGGCACCGCGGCCACAGGTAGGCTCTGCCCATCCCGGGGAGCGGGCGAGGGCAGGGGGCGAGAGACCCAGCTCGCAGCCGCGCCCGACAGGCTGAAACTCACCGGAGGACACGGAGGAGCCGGACAGACTGGAGTTGCTGGACGCTGCCATCTCCGCGCGCCCCGCACGTCGCTGTAGCTCAGCCCCGGTGAGGACGCAGCCTCCGCTGCCCTCGCCCGGCCGCTCCCGGCTGCCGCGGCCCCCAGCCCATGGCAAAGTCCTGGCGGCGCGCAGAGAGCACCAGCCTCTGGACTCTGCCTGCACTTCCTGCTCCACCAGATGACGCGCTGCCGCCGCCGCTATTTATTTGTGGTTTCCGTCCCTCTCGGCGCCTAAGCCCGCTGTTCTCCCGGTGTCCGGGGGTAGGTAGGTGGGAACGGAGGGAGGCCAGGAGGCGGCGGAGCGGACCGATCGTGCCTCCAGCCGAGCCCAGCTGCGGTTAGCGCTCCCCCGCGCACGGCGGGGACCAGGGCGCCCGGGTGTCCCTGAGCCGCGCCGCCAGCTCCCCGCACCCTCCCTTGCGCTCCTGCCTTCCCAGCCGCACTTCGAGCAGCCCGGGCAAGGGCGGTGGGAGACAGACAGACAGAGCGACCTCCCCCTCCTCCCTCCGCCCCAACTCCGCTCGCGCGCGCACACAAAGGAAGGAGAGGAGACTGGGGAGCTGGTTCAGCTGCGGCGGGCTTGACAGCACCTGCCTCGGAGGCTGGAGGGGGAGGCTGTGGGCTGCAGGGCAGGAGGACACCGGACCAAGGAGCGGGACCCCTAGGTGCCGGGGAAGCCGCGGGGGGCGGGGGGCGAGGGGCGAGTGTGGCTGCAGCGCGCAGAGCTGCTCCAAGGGTTTGAACGCGACCAGGAGTGGGGAGTGGGGAGAAGGTGTTGGGACTCGCTGAGCCCCGCCAGACTAAGGAGCGGCGAGCAGGCCCGGTTGGAAAGGGTGGGGGTGGGGTGGGGGAAGGCGGGGTCACTGAGGACACGTTGTTTGGCAGAAGGGGGCCTGGGAAGCCAGGGGGACTGTGGAGCCCTCCTTCCACTCCCCTCCAAATTGTCCTTTGTTGCTCTGGAGCTGATGGTCCCAGCCCTGCAAGAAGGTAAGTTTTCTGAAACACCCTCACAACACCCAGCAAGCCAATCCAGCTGCCCCAAGTGCCCCAGCTTCGGATGGTGCCCGCAGGCCCACTGGACTTTTGAGGTTGGCCTTCCAGGAAATAGACACGTTCCTAATATATCACCAGCCCCACACAAAGCCGGGTGTCTCAGAGAAGGAGGTTCTCTACTTCCTCTTGCAGAGGATCCGCACAAAAGGCAGAAGCCTGGCCACAGGTCCCACTGTGCCTTTTCAGGATCAGGCCCTGCTCAGGTGTGTGAGAGAGACTGGAGCACACGGTGTGTCCCTTCCCCCTGTATTTAAACCTAAATTAATTTCGCTGGGAGGAAACACCATGCAGATTTAAAAAAAAAAAAAGTCTATTTCACGCTCCCAGCAGGGTAATCGGTTCTTTCAATCCGGAAGCAACAGAAAACTGTGAAATTTGAACAGAAATTGTTAGATCAAAGGGAAGAGCAAACATTAAAGGGATGAAAGTACTCTCATTATGTAGCAAAGTGGAAAGTGTTCGCATTGGGGAAGTTCAATTTTTAAAAATCTGGTTAAAAGGACATAGTTTTAAAATGATTAGGAGAGACACAGCACAGCAGCAAGTCCCAGGGGCTCCACACCAACCACGCGCCTCACACACAGTGAGTAATAAATGTTGAATTATGCACCCTGGTCACATTTTCTAGTTGATTTAAGCTATTTTTTTTTTAAATTCCCTCCAGGATGCCATCCCATGTGTCTTCCCAATAAGGTTTTTGTTTGTTTGGTTGTGTGTGTGTGTGTGTGTGTGTTTTAATGCAGCTGGATGAATAGTTGAGGGCTCATGAGCACTCTCCAGTCACTGGGGACTGAGTCTCCCTGACCCTCATCTAATGGAACTTGAAACATCCCGCCTGGTATAAAGAGACCCACGCACCCCCACTCACCCTCCCACCTGAAGTTTTCTTCTTTCTGTGCCAGGCAGCCTTAATGCAGCCTAAGCTGGAGCCAGCCCTTCAAGGGACATCTGGCCCATCACAACCTTGACCTCTCTATCAGAATGGAGCTTCCTGTTTTCCCAGAGTTCTTCTCATCAAAGGCAACATCTACTTGTTGGACAAGAAACCTACGTGTCCCTCCAGGACTTTAGACAGGCAGCTATCTAACTGGGCTGCCACTTAGTTGTCACCATCTGGGTTTTGAAGACGATAACATCTGGTTTCAAACTCTGGTCCTGCCACTTATTAGCTATATGGCCTTGAGCAGGTTACTTACACTCACTGAGCCTTCGTTTCTCCACCTGCAACCAAGGCCCTCGACATAGGGCGCTGTGAAGATGAAATGAGTTGATAATGGTAAAGTCACAGTGTAACTGACAAAGTTCAGGCTCCATAAGTGACAGTAAATGGTTCACTTAACAGACGGAACCTACGATTTGAACAACTTTTGCTTTCTCCATTGCACCTGGAGATACCTAATCAGCAGTGACTTCTTCTGTGAGGGAAAATGTCCAATCTCTGGCCCAATGTTAATACGGTATCTTTCTTGGCCCAAATTGAGCAACACGTCTCATGACTCATCTCAGAAGTCTCACAAACGGATGTCAAGTTCTGTTTCTGCAGTTTGGAGGACAATAGCTACCTTCACAGGGCTGTATAGTTGTTAGAGAACGTGCAGCGTGGTCCTGCGAAGTAGATGATTCTTATTATCCCAAAGTGACAGCTGAAGGGACAGGGCAGAGGGGCACTTGCTGTGAAGGCGCCCTGTGCCGTACAGATGTAGAGTAAGACAGACTAATGTTTTCCCACTGGTTCCAAAGGCCAGGAGCAGGACGTAAAGATAACAGACGTGCTGAATGGAAACGGGGTGAGTGGGGAGGCTTAGCTTGTGGGAGGAGGTGGAGGGGAACTCTGAAGTCCATCATTTTGAAGAACCCAGAAAAAGCTCCAGATTTCAGAACTAAACTCTGAACGTTGATTAATCATTTGGAATGTTAAAGCCATAACCAGTGGAGAAAGCTCAGCAGGCATGATCGCTTACTAGCATTTTTCTTAGGTTCGGAGGCCTAAAGCGCTTGCTGCTCCTGCAAACATTTACTATCAGTAAATGAGCAGGAGGTGGCTGGCACATGACGCTAAGCCCCTCCTCAGTAGGCTCAGGACCTGTTTGTGGACCTCCCAAAGCATCTCTCCAAGTGAAACAGTAAAAAAAAGAATAATAAAGCTTTTGCATTTTATTCATTCATGTATGTCCTTAATTCTAGGCAATACCTATTTTTTTAATTTTTATTTTTTATTTATATATTTTTTGCCAATGGAAAGGGACATATTGGTACTATAAAGATCTTAGGTCTGTTTGAAGAAGATTTTTTAAGGTATGAATACCTTCTTTCTTTAAATATTGAAAGAGTTATAGGATGAAAGAAGTTGTGTTGATAATTTGGTCCATTTTGGATTAAAAGCTACAATTGGTTTCAGCTCTCATGCCAACTTTGCATTTAAGGTCTTCCCACCTTCCCTTTCCAAACCTATTTCCTGTTCTCCCCTTCACACATGCAACCCCTTCTCACTGTGCCCGGCCCAGCGAAGGGGGTAGCACCCGCCTTTTCTACGTCCTCCCTGTTGGGCACGCTCCATATCATGAAAGTTCAAGTGGAAGCACCTTCCTAGAGAATCTTCCCTGATCCCCGAGCCAGACACCAGCTCTCCTGTTGAATTCCTCTAATCCTTTCTCTAGACCGCCCCATTGGCAGATGCTCTGTCCTGTTTGGCTGGTAAGTTTGCAACATATTGTATCTCCCTTCTCCATTAAGAGCTTCCAGGGGCCCGGTCCTTATCTGGCCAGCCTTTGTGTTCCCTACCACGTTTGCACACATTAGGAGCTTTTAGACGGTATTTGTTGAATAGATGAGTAGACCAAGGAACAAATGACTCCATACATGGTTCTCAAGGACACGCCAATTACATGTCACATCAGTAGCTGTGACCACTCAGCCACAGAGGATGAGTGCAAAGCAGTGGACGTGTGTGTCCAGACACTTCTGCTGTTTACAACAACAACAACTGAAATGATGAAAACCTAAGACTAAAATTTTAATGGAGTAAATGTTTGCAACCCCAACCCCACCTCCATCACCGGCTGTTACAACTCCTGTACTTCACTGTTTACAGAGTAGCTCGGATGCTACTGTAATTTGTTTATTTTTGCTTTACTGTTCCTTTGAAGTTTAAAGGCAGACATGGAAACACTGCAGGGGGTGTGGCTGCGGTGGTGGGAGCTGGGCTCCCGCGACCCTGGCACTCTGGGGTGTACGTGAAGGTCATTGCTCCCCTCGGCGCTACGCACAGAATGAAATATTCCTTACTTTCAAGATTAATCCAGTGGCTGCCATGCACAGGAGACTAGTGGGGCTATTTGTCAACTAGCTTTAAATATTTTATGGCAAATACTCCACTCTGCCCTGAAAATGGGTCCTTTCGCCATCAATTTCTCAACATCGATATACTCTTTGTTGGAGTGAGCCGCATTTCCCTTTGTAGCTAGAGCAGTGTTTCTAAATACAAAGATGCCTAGTCCTGTTAAAGGGAAAACATTGGCTCTTTGGGGTAAGGACAGGCATACCTAGAGGCTGAAGCTCAGAAAGACTCCGTTTCCCTGGAAGTGGGGAGACGGCCCAGGGTGGGTTTACCCAGCAGACAGCTCAGACCTGCCCAGAGCAGCCCTGCCTCTGAACAAAAGGAGCCCACACCTGGGGTGCAGACAAAGGGAGGCCGCCTCAGCTACCCAAGTCCCAGATCACATCGCCGGCTGCTGGGGACCCCTAGTGGCCACACTTGCCGCCAGCACAGATGCTCCTGAATGTCCTCACTGACACGAGGAGGGGTCAGGTCCAGGGGCATGCCCTGACTCCCATTTGGCCACTTAGCTGGCCAAGATCAGACACCCACACCCATGCACACTTATGCCACGCAGCCAGCTACAATCTCTTTGACTTGAAAGCCGGACAGACACAGAGAGAGAAATAAAGGAGGGTATTTCTTTCTGAAGAAAAAGAAAATCAGAAACTCATTGAATGTGTTTTCTTCTGCGTAAGGCCTCTCCTGGCTT